CATTCTGATCTTCTGCCGATATTGACCATCTCATCTCCTGGAAGAAGGACAAAGACTTGATTGGCACCTCAGCTCCTGAGACAGATCTTAGAAGCATCTGATGGCTGTCCAGTCTCCAGAGGAAAGGCACCTGGAGGAAACTGATTGAACAAGCACCTTTTTCATGCAGTGACAACCTCAATTTACAACTTTGTAGAATACATGGATGACCCTTTCTAAGGTGGAACGCTTCATAGTTTGTACCCCAGTCTCTGGAGCGAAAGATGCAGGAAAGGCTGGACAGAAGACTCAACCCCAATCTTATGTATCCATCAACTTTCTCAGAAGGGACTCCTTTCACTATCTGGGGTACCTTTGGACCATCACACAGTCCACTTACATGTCCAGATGGATACAGCTTCTTCCTTTGCCCACTAATCTTCTCTCGGGCTGACAGTTATATAGTTGCCCCTGAATGAAAGAACCAATTGAGAGCATTGCTAACCATGGTGATGAGAAATGAATTCCCATGGAGAGGATCCAAGATAAATATTTTCATTGACATCTTGAAACTTAGAGACACTCTTCGGTGCCAGATTCATATCAATCTTCTGGGTGATCTGCCAAACCAACATTTCCTCCTGGAACAGGTTGTCCACCCAGAATGAGAGAGAAAGGAAGGGGAACTGGCCCACCCAACATGCTACGCCGTAACATGATTTATCTGGTTTTGGCTCAGTGTGTTGTGTGACCATCAGCAGGTGTCCTAAGAATGAATCTCAGAATGAGTTCCAAATTGGTCATGTCTCTACCTACTTACCAAGACAATATTCTTGTCTTGGTAATACCTTGAAAAGTATTCGGAGACTACAGTTAGTCCAGAATGCAGCCGCTCGAGTGATAGTGGGTGCTCCTCGATACACCCACGTTACACCTATCCTCCGTGAGCTGCACTGGTTGCCTATTGGTCTCCGGGTCCAATTCAAGGTGTTGGTCATTACCTTTAAAGCCCTATATGGCTCAGGGCCAGGCTATTTTCGAGACCGCCTACTACCTCATAGTTTCTACGTCCGGTTAGATCCCACAGGCTGGGCCTCCTTCAGGCCCCGTCGGCCAAGCAGTGCCATTTGGCGGGGTCGCGGAGGAGGGCCTTCTCTGTGATGGTGCCCACGCTTTGGAATCAGCTCCCCCCGGAGATTAGGACCGTTCCCACCCTGTTGGTCTTCCATAAGCTACTTAAGACCTGGCTTTTCCGGCAGGCCTGGGGTTTATAAAACCTTACCCCTGGATGATTGTCTTTGTACTGTTGTTTTGTTATGTTTTATGTGTTTTTTATTGTTAGCCGCCCAGAGTCCTTCGGGAGTGGGGCGGCTTATAAATTTTAAAAATAAAATAAAATAAATAAATTCCCTCTCTGCTCCGTGGAGTAGAGAGTTGGTCTCTGACAGATGGCCACCTGAAGAGACTAGAAGCATTTGAAATGTGGATTGACAGGCGGCTGTTACGTAGAAGCTGGGTGGACAAGATCGGAAATGAGGAGGTGATAAGCCGCCTGGGAAAGCCCAGGGAAATCATCAAAACAATTAAAAAACGAAAATTAGACTATTTCGGACATGTGATGGGACACCCAGAAAAATACGACAGACTCCATTTCATCCTCCAGGGAAAGATGGAAGGCCAATGAGGTCCAGGCAGAAGGTCAACGTGTTTCTGTAGGTTTCTCTCTCTCTTTTTTGGCATCTGCTTTGTGATTCACTTTGTGGTTTTCATTTGCAACAAGGTGTACATTGCAGGTTTAAACTTTTGTTAATCACCCCGAGTCGTGATAGAAAGATGTATGATTATATAAATCAATATTTGAAAGGGACTTTCTCAAAAAGGTAAGTGGGCTGTTTTTTTTTTTCCCCCTTGAGGATGAAGAACAAAAGATCAAAAGATTTCTCTTCTCATCCAAGAAGCTTTACCAGTTGTGATGGCAGGAGAGAGAGAGGAGAAATGGCAGGGCTGTATTCCTTTGCGGTCATCCCGTCGTTAGTACTCTCCCTGAGAGCTCTTGAGGCCACTTGGAGGATTGATCTTTGCCCTCAGGGTCATCTGAATCAGGGTGCAATGGGTTGTGGAACCATAATAATAATAATAACAACAACAACAACAACAACAACATCATCATCATCATCAACAACAACAACAACAATAATAATAATAATAATAATAATTAAATTGCTCTGGGACTTCAGAATTCAAACAGACAAGCACCTGCAACATAACACCCCAGACTTAACAGCTGTTGATAAGAAAGACAAAAAAGTCTGGATAGTGGACGTGGCAGTGCCTGGAGACAGCAGAATAGAAGAGAAAGAACTAGAGAAGATAACAAAATACAAAGACCTACAAATAGAAATAGAAAGACTGTGACAAAAGCAAGCAAGGGTAGTACCAATAGTAATAGGCACCTTGGGTGCAATCCCAAAACAACTGGAGCACCACTTGAACACCATTGGCATTGACAAATTCTCCATTAGTCAATTGCAAAAGGCGGCCTTACTAGGAACTGCTTCCATCCTGCGACGATACCTGTAACACCATCAAACATCCACATCTGCCTATCCCAGGTCCTGGGTAAGGACTCGATAGGTAAACAAAATGCCAAATCCAATCTGAACATCTGGCTGACTGTGCGATGATCCATAATAATAATAATAATAATAAAGTTGGAAGGGACCTTGGAGGTCATTGTTCAACCCCCTGCTCAGACAGGAAAGCTACTTAGTGCAGCTTTTAAGTTTTTCTCTGGTTCTCCCATTTATCCTGGTCCTTCTTAGATTGGGGTTGGCTGATCACCAGTCACCATCAATATGAAGTTGTCCTGGCAGTGTCACAACAACACAAGGATAGGGAAGAAAACACAGGTTTATGGGGAATTTTATGCCCTGGAGAGGGATTTGGAAGAAGAAGCAGAGAGCCCTACCCTTCCTACATTCTGGGAATGACTCTTTCCAAGAGTATTGGTCCATTTGGAGGAAATGAAAAGTCCCTTCAGCTGACCAGGCTGGGTTGAGCTGGAAAAATAAAGGTCATGTGAAAATAACATTCATGGAATATCTCACCAGAGATGGTGAGACTGAGCTAGGTCAGCCATCCATTAGCCAAAGGTCTCCCTTGGCTTGTGTGGAGGGCAGAGAAGATGTTCAAACGTGGAGGATACCTACATGGGCCTGTGTGGAAAGGAGGGCATGGGCTTATGGTGGCCAGCTGAGAAAGGGATGGATATAAAGAAGCTGGGAGAGGGCTTGTGGCCAGATCCTTCTTCTCCTCAAGTGGGGATCTCTCCTGAAGTTGACCTGAAGAGCAAGACTCCTGTGGAGCTCTGGGAGATTTAAGCCAGGGGTGTCAAACTGCCGGCCCGTGGGCCAGATGCATCATGCTGAAACCACGCCCACCCCATTGCTGGCAAGGGGGAAAAAGTCACGATACGTTGTGACACGTCACGTGAGGTTGCGAGTTTGACACCCCTTGTGGGGATCTAAGGAAAGATATCATTTGGTCTGAGCAACAGAGAGCTTTATGTCTGCCAGGAAGGACAACTTGCTTTCAAGGTCCTTTTGAAGGAGAGACTTTTAGAAAAGTTCACCCAAGTGGAAAGGGATGTTCTTCAACTCATTAAGCAATGAGCCTCTGGTTCAGCTTGCTAAAGTGGACCTGAAAAGACACCCAAGAAAGAAATATAACTCCATACGTCTTCATGTTGTGCCTTCTCGTGCCCGCTTAATGTCAGTTTTTGTCCTCTTCACACGGTTTGGGTCTGTGGCTTCATGATCTGATGTGCTTCACCATCACTGAAGATTTTAAGATCTGCCTGGTCTTGCTTTGCCACTCCAGGATGCTGGCTCACGTGTCCCTCTCTTTGCCTGGTGGTCTTCCCTGGTCATTTCACCTTGGATTTCAGGAAGCACCAGACAGCAGACTTCCACACATATGTGATGCCTGCCTGGTGTTTTACAAGTATTGGTCAAGTCTTCTGAAGGCACCTGGTGTATATGGGTTTAGTATACTTATTGATTTATTTATTTATGAGACTTATATACCGCTTTAAGTGCGAGCACTCTCTAAGCGGTGTACACCAGTAAGCAATGTATATATATATATATTTACATTGCCCCCAACAATCTGGGTCCTCATTTTACCTAACCCGGAAGGATGGAAGGCTGAGTCAACCTTGAGCCAGTGAGATTTGAACCGCTGACCTGCTGAACACAGTCAGCTAAAGTGGCCTGCACTACTGCACTCTAACTGCTGCGCCACCTCGGCTTACTTCCTTTAACGTGGGGAGGACGTGGGTCAAGGCAGGGAGGGGAAAACTACAAAGGGGCAGAAGAGGGAAGCTAGGACCAATGCTTTATTGTGGGAAAAAAGGAATAAATCCAGGGTGGGTTTTAGGGGAGGGTCGCCAGGATGACCCAGCATAGAAGAAGAGTCTTTGGGTGATATTGGTGCACTGGGCATAATTTGGGTGAGTCTCCTCCTCGGTGATTCTGTAAAAACAAAGATTCAGATATGAGGTTTCTGCCCAGAATTGCTTCTGGTGCTGCTTAGGATTTGACCCTCCCTAATTGTACAGCCATGGAGACCCAAAACCTGAAATCTGGAGGGATGTTCTGATGGGGAAAGGAAGCAATGGGACAACCTTCTCCTTGGAGTTATGAGGGTCCACCACCGAAGGTTTCAAGCAAAGGTGAGACAGAATCTCTCCATGATGCTCTGAGGATTTCTGCACTGGAAGCAGGGTGGACTAGAAGACCCCCAATGTTTTTTCCCCAATCTTCTCTTTCTGGGAGACCTCAAGGCCAACGGCTTGGACATGTTCATGTGAGCTTTCTAACTCATACAGGGAGCATTTCTTACAGCCAGAAATGTGAACTTATCTTTGGTGCCCCTGGCAAAGCTATGGACCTTCCGGTCACCTGAACTTGGACCAGTTCTGGTCATTCCAGAGGATGAGCTGGACCAAAGTGGGCAAGGGGTTCTGTCCCAGCCTCTCCTCCTCCTGGAAGTCCTCCTTGCCTGGGACCTTCTGGCTTCCTGACCAGGCTGGCAGGAGGACCATGTTCTACAATACAATTGTCCAGCAGCAGCTGAATTTGGGGGTGGGGGCATGTTCTCCCAATGGTGATTCAGGAAGAGGAGAAGTCAACAGACAGTGGGAGGGGGTCGGGGAAAGTCAGCCTCAGGACTTCCACATAATGGGGGTGTCAACTTATGAGGAAGAAGAGCCACCCCACATTCTGCCTCAGCATCATGGCCCTTTCCTTGTTTACATCAACTCTACCTTTGATGGACAAGAGGAAAGCCTGGAGGCCCAGCAGCCTGGACAATCTCAAAGAGACCTGCATGTGCCTAGTCCAGGGGTGGGCAACCTGGGCTCTTTTATGACTGGTGGACTTCAACTCCCATGCTGAGGGGAAAGGGAGAAGTTCCAAGATGACCCATGCTGGCTCAGGAATTCTGGGAGTTGAAGTCCACCAGCCATAAAAGAGCCAAGGTTGCCTACTCCTGGTCTAGACCAAGTCTAAATACAGGAAACGTAACACTGCTGTTCCTTTACTCTGAGCAAACTGCACAAGTGACAATGTACAGAAGCTACAAAATACAAAATAACAGAGTTGGAAAGGGTGTGAGTCATCAGAGAGAGGCTAGTGATGGGTCTTGTGAGGAGGAGGTTACACCTGAGAAGGACACCTTCTCAGTTGCGACCCCCGCCTCATGGAACATTCTTCTCCCCATGTACAGCAGCCCTGATCCTGCAGGAAAAACCTGGCTCTTCCCAGCACCTTGGAGTCCTAATGTGCCGGAGACGCCATTAAAGGATGTGGGTGTTTGGGCTGCCATTTCATTGATTCAATATTGTCTGTTGGTCTGTGCCCTGAGGTTTTTAAAATGGCTTTTGTTAGGTTTCCTTGCATTGTATTTTTCTAAGCCACCCAGATGAGCTGGGTTCAGTAGGGTGGTCCTATCAACGTTCTAGACAAATAAATCAGTCAGTGCTTGGGCGTGGAGCACGACATGGTGTGAGTGATGGATTAACATGTGAATGAGTCTTCCTTTCAGCATGGAGGAAACACAGGCAGCGCTTGTGTGCTGGGATTGTGTGATGATTCCCACGGATAGAGGGTCAGCCTCCCGGGGGCCTGCGCTCCCAAAGATATGGCCATTGGTCATACATCTGCTATCCTTCAGAGTTTTGTGGACCTTTCCCCCTCCCCCCAGGCCTGTCTCTTTCCTTCTGGCCTCCTAAGAGGTGGTGAGGATGGTGATGAGGCTTCCCAAAGGCACCAGAGGCTGAATCAAAGCCATGGGTCTTGAGGACAGGAATTTAGAACAAATATCTAAACGGCAGGATTGGGGCCTTCATTCCCCCAAGACGGAAAGGAGCACAGAAGACCAGATCCTCTGCAGTCAAAGATGCCCCCAAATCTTCCTAAGCCAGAACTGGATCATCTCTTGAGGCTCAACTAAGAGAGAACTTCGCCCTCCCTCCACCCTCTCTGTCCGTCCTTCGGAGTTGGGACTGGCCTCCACTGCCTGGTCTCTCTAATGCAGTGGTTCTCATCCTTCCTAATGCCGCGACCCCAACCATGTGGTCGTAAGTCGAGGACTACCTGTATTTCCCTGCGGGTGGGGCAGGAGGAGGCGCGCACGCTCCGCCTCCTCTCCTGTGGCTGCATGCGGGCCGTCGCCCAGCAACCACCTCGGTCTGGGAGTGCCACGCATGCGTGGTGCCACTCCCTGCGCCGGCCGAGGCGTAGCTGGCAAGCAGCAGTGATGGCGCAGGCCGACCACTGGCTGGGCTATCAGTTGGCCCAGCCCAAGGGAGGTAAGGCACCTACAGGGCCCCACGCACGCCAGCAACCCTCCCTGCTCCTGCCGCTGCCCCGCTAGCCTTACCTTGGCCACTGCATGTTCAGTGCGGTGGAAGGCAGGCCCAGGCGCTCCTGGGCGGCCATGGCATGTGGCAGCGAGGGCGCAGGATGACCACCGGCTGGGCCACCAGCTGGCCCAGCCCAAGGGAGGTAAGGCACCCGCTGGGCCCCACGCACGCAAGCAACCCTCCCCGCGCTTGCCGGCCTCTCACCTCCCACCCCTGGCCCTCTTTTACTTACATTTAGTAGTTGCTCAGCAGGGAGGGGTGGAAACGTCCAGAAAGCTCGCCTTAGCTGCAGACAACTTGCAGCACCATTTGCAGACTGGGACTTTTGGCGGACTCAGCAGGGCAGAGACAGCCTGGACAATTCCTATTGGCTTTTGAAAGCCAATAGAATTAGACACTATTCAAGAGAGTCTATTATACTGGCTTTCAAAAGCCAATAGATTCTATTGGCTTTCGAACACCAATAGAATAGAGTCTCTTGAATAGAGTCTCTTCTATTGGCTTTCAAAAGCCAATAGAATAAGAGCGAGTAGCACAGCTAAGGAAAAGGGGGGGAAAATGGCGGACTGCGTTGTTTGCTGACCCCCGTGAAATGGTCGTTCGACCCCAAATGGCGTCGCGACCCACAGGTTGAGAACCGCTGCTCTAATGGCTGGAGAAGACCTGGTTGTTCTCCTTTCATCGCCATCCTATTTGGGGTTTGAATCATCCAAGGACAGACCCAAGAAAAGTGGAAGCTTCAAGGATTCCAGAGAGATCTACCTGGATCCAGTCCTTACCAGGATTGACAAAACTCTACAGAGTGGTATAAAACTCAAGGCTCTTACCTTAGACAGGGTCCATGCAGTCAACCAGGCAAGCATAAGGGCAACACTTCTGTTTCCCCTCACACTGCCAGTCACTTCCACACTTCACGAGACAAATAGTCATCGTTCCTGGAGGGGCTTTGGGGCACATCCCTGGTTTTTCTGCAAAATAGAAGACCCCAAGCCTCAGAGATTCTTCTGGAACTAGAATTCCAGAGCAAGCAAGGTCCCATCTCTGGACCTTTCAGGACTGAAACATTTCCATATATCCAGATGCGACATTGCCAGCTGGAGCCGGATCTTACCTCTTCCCGTTTCCCACAAAGCACAGCCATTTTCTGCTGGGGTCAACCTCTCAGGACTCTGGGTTGGATTATATAACAGGGTTCCTCTCTCTTGACTCAGGATGCTGGGGATGAAAATGTGCGTCCCCCACTTCTACCAAAGAGGAATGTTGTTCTCCTGGTGGGCAAGTCCATCTCGGTCTGCCTTCCCCATCAAGAAAGGATTCCAGGGAATGGGAGCAGAGCCTTCTCTTCTGGCTCTGCTCATACCTTCAGCCCCCCCCCCCAAAACAGGGGGAAAGATAGAGCTCCCCCTCTGGATACCAAGAGAAGTCCTCTTTCCTTGGATCTCCTGCAAGTTGCCCTGAAGTTCTTAGGTTAAATGCAGAGGAGCTTCAGGGACCGTGGTTGAGGTTCTAGGCTGGGCCACTCAGCACACACAGCTGGGCTAATCCAGAGATGGGTCCTTGATGTTCACCTCCCATTTCTACCAAAGAGGAGGATGATTCTCCTTCTCTGTGTACCAAGCATCTATCTCAGGGGTCTTCCAACTTGGCCCTTTTATGACTTGTGGATTTCAACTCCCAGAATCCTCAGCCAGGCACACTGAGGAATTCTGGGAGTTGAAGTCCACAAGTCATAAAAGGGCCATGTTGGAAGACCCCTGGTCTATCTCAATCTACCTTTCACATCAGTTCTGAGCTGGGCCCTCAGCAACACCTGGACCCAGATGGAGATGGCTCTTTGATGGTTCCAGAAGAGGGCAGGTGGAGCATTCATGCCAACAACCACATAAGCAGGGACAAATAACCACACAGAAAATAGTTCCCCAGTTAAGGAACTGTCAGAAAGAAAACAACACTCTGACCAAGACTTGTAGGGCAAGCTGCAGTACATAAACCAGGATCAAACCCAGACAGAGTTTGCTCTGAAGATAATAATAATAATAAAGTTGGAAGGGACCTAGGGTAGAATAGAATAGAATAGAGGAGAGGAGAGGAGAAGAGAAGAGAAGAGAAGAGAAGAGAAGAGAAGAGAAGAGAAGAGAAGAGAAGAGAAGAGACTTCCGGTTTGGCACGTGACGAGACGGGTGGAAGAAGGCGGGGCTCCGGCTTCCCAGTCCGATTTTGGTCTGCCCAGCAACCCCAAGGAGTCGGAAAGTTGCCCTGGAGGGGCAATGAAGAAGGAGAGATACTCCAGGAGCCTGGGCCAGACAGCGGTCGGTCCAGGCGGACTGAAGAAACGCTCTGAAAGGACGGAGCAAAGGCTACCAGGTGTGCCCAGGAAGCCCAAGTCGTCTCCAGCCGGAAGGAAAGCAAGGAGCTGTGGCGCTCCGCCAAACAGCTGATTGTCAATATCGTGCTGAAACTGGGTGAGCCAGCCCTCTTTCTTTTTCCTTTTGGATTTACACTTGAAACGTTGATCCCCTGACTGGACAGAGCTAAAAAGCAAAGACGCCAGAAGGACTAGAGGAGAAGTTAAAGGCGGCGAGCAACTACAAGGGAGGTTTTTTATGGACTAATTTGCAGATGTCTGCAAAAATCTTTTAAAATTGGAGTCAGATTGATTTTAAAAAAGATTACTTGTTCTACAAAAGGTGGAAAAAAAAATTTGGGGGCTATAATCCTAAGAGTAAATAGAAAACTTTGCAGTATCTTTTTAAAACCAGACATTGATTAAATAGCAAAAGAGGACATCTAGTGGTGAAAGAAGATACTACAGCAATATAAAACAAAAAATATTTGTGAAAGATTGTGACCTTGAACAACACCTGGTCTAAATAAAGTGAGTTTTTGAATGAGAAGATTTTTCACAACTAGATTTGTTGACTCTGGATATACCTAAACAGAAATTACTTGGAGACAGTGAAGGTTTTGCATCTGAGACCTGATCCAAGGAGTTGGATTTGGCCTAAAGTAGTTGGCTTCTTGTTGTTTTTTCTTCCCTTTTTTTTTCTCGGTTTCCATCCGTGGCTTCTTGTCCTGCTTTCAGGGGCTTTGGAGAATAGCCTGAGTCCCTCTTCTTTGGGGCAGCCCATGAGATATTGGAACACGGCTATCATGTCACCCCTGGTCCTTCCTTTATTTGCTTGCTTGCCTGTTTGTTTATCATACAATATATATGTATGTCATGCATGCACGCCTCCTGCTCACTTAAATGGAGTGCACGCATGCATGTGCCCGCTGCTCACACAGGTGAGGATCCACGTGTGCGTGTGTGCTCTCACTGACCCTTTCTGCAGCTTGGTTGCAAACCCCTCATGGCCCACTAGCGGGCTGCAGCCCCCAGATTGGGGGACCTGTAAACTACAAGACCTCCAGAGTCCCAACCAACTCTGTTGCTCTGTTAAAGCACATCAATGGAGACGTTCAAGCCAACGTCCAAGTAAGCAGGGACAGACAACCAAGCAGAAAATGGTACCCTCTTGATGGAACTACGAGGAGAAAAGCCACACTCACATCAAGGCTGGCAAGGGAGGCTACTGCATATAAACAGAGAGCAACCCACGTACTCCGTTGCCCTGTTCGTGTTACCCAGTTGGGTAATGAGACGTCTGCAAGAAAAGAACCAAATGCGGAGAGCACCAAGGACTCACCTTCCTCCTCCACCACCACCCTTCCAGAACTGAGGATGTTCCCTAGTTGGGTCATAAAACAGTCTGCAAAAGACCCACCAAACTCAGAGAGCATCAGGAATTCCAGAGTTCAACCTGAGTGACCAATATTCCCTTATACTGTATCAATCCTAGCCTGTTGCGAGAACCAGGATACTACATTAAGCCACGCTAGGCTTAATTTTAGGAGACAACAGTTCTTTTTCAGTGAAGAGGTCACTTCGTAGTTCCTTCCCTACTTACTGACACAGGTGTAGTGACATTGATCTCTGGTCCCAAAATTGTTGTCATTCCCACCGCATCCACCATAAATAAACTTTTGACATTTATTTGAAGTTGGGTTGTAGTAGAAGCGAGGTATAAAGGCTTGACATGGTCCGGGTTTAGCAGGAAGATAACAAAACCCTGCAGGAAATGGAAAGGGATGTGTGTGGGTGTGTTGTTTGATTAGCTATCACAAATGTCTTTAAGGCATTTCCCCAACCTGGTGCCCTCCTAGCATGCTTAGATTGCAAACATTCGAGAGCTTTCTTTCTTTCTTTCTTTCTTTCTTTCTTTCTTTCTTTCTTTCTTTCTTTCTTTCTTTCTGTCTTTCTTTCTTTCTGTCTTTCTTTCTGTCTTTCTGTCTTTCTTTCTTTCTGTCTTTCTTTCTGTCTTTCTCTCTCTTTCTTTCTCTCTCTCCTTTCTTTCTTTCTTCTTTCTGTCTTTCTGTCTTTCTCTCTCTCTTTCTTTCTGTCTTTCTTCTTTCTCTCTCTTTCTCTCTCTCTCTCCTTTCTTTCTTTCTTTCTTTCTTTCTCTCTCTCTCTTTCTCTCTCTCTCTCCTTTCTTTCTTTCTTTCTTTCTTTCTTCTTTCTGTCTTTCTCTCTCTCTCTCTCTTTCTTTCTGTCTTTCTGTCTTACTTCTTTCTCTCTCTCTCTCTCTTTCTTTCTTTCTTTCTTTCTTTCTTTCTTTCTCTCTCTCTCTCTCTCTCTCTCTCTCTCTCTTTCTTTCTTTCTTTCTTTCTTTCTTTCATATTTAGTTTATTGAAACAAAGTTAAAATATAAAATGCCAAAACATAAAAAGGCAAAATAATAAAAAAATAACAAAGAAGAAATTCAAAAGAAAAGGTGTCTTAAAAAAAAGAAAAGACTAACACATAGACAGATAATATCTTCCCTAGTTTAATGCTGATTAACATAATAAAGCAGTGTTAGTTTGCCCCCTTCCTTGCAAAACAGGTCAAAATAATTTTAAAAGACTAAACTACTAAATCTGTTCACAAATTGTTAGTCTGTCATCTATACGCTCTACTAATAAGAAAATAGTTAGCAGTAATCGCTTAAATTTGTTGCTTAAAAATCTGATTCTGCTGCTGCATTGAGTAAAGATAGGTCAGCCTTCCCCTAAAATTGCATTTCTCTTTCTCCCCCTCCCCTCCCATTTCTGTCTCCTCTTCAGCTGACCTCCAACTACCATCTCAAGAACCTTCCCAAGAAGTAGCTTCACAAGCCAGAGGTTCTAGACTGGGGCTCTTGGTTTTCCCTCCCTGGGGGAAAACTCTGCCCTCTGATCACTTCAGCCCCTCCCAGCAAAGGGTTTCAAGATCATCCTGAAAGGTCTCACTTGGACGGTACCGGCCGGAGACGGGGGTCAGCTCTGCCCAGAGAGTGAGGAGTCCCAGCAGGAGAAGAAGACCTCCAAAAGACATGATGAAGCCGTCTACCCCACACCCGGGCTGCTCGCTCTATTTATTCTCCCCACTGGGAATTTCACATCCAGGAAGCAGGATGGAGTAACAGAGTGAGAATTTCAATTCTTTCCTCTTTCATCAGTTGGTTGAACAAGAGGTTGAGAATCCCGAGAGTTGGATTGGCTGGCCAGTTTGGGGGGAGCTAGGCAGGTCCCTGTTGGTGTCAATGGGTCCTTTGTCTGGTCAAGCAAAACTCACCCTTCCAGACTGGGTGTGCATGGGGGGAGGGGGCTGCTCAGCTGGGGGGATGATGCAACTTCCTTATCAGGGCTGCCCTCCAGATGTGATGGGAGAGGTGAGGAAGCTTCTCCTCCTTGGTTGAGATGGACTTTGAGAGCAGAAGGTTTGGTGTTATAGACAGACTATGATGAAGTAGCTAGCTTGAACTCTGCACACATGGATATGATCACTTCACATTCCTAGGGAACAGATGATGTGAGCACAGCTGGCTGAGGAATTCTGGGAGTTGAAGTCCACAAGTCATAAAAGAGCCAAGGTTGCCTATCCCTGCCCTAGAGGTTTTGATAAAGCCTGCTGCAATTAACACACGTTCCTTCTTGGATGGCTTACAACAGGAGTCTCCAAGCTTGGCAACTTTAGGACTTGTGGACTTTCAGAATTTTACAGTGAGCATGGGAGAAATACAGCCAATGAAGTCTGTCTTTCTTCTTCTCATTCTGCTCTTCTTGGATGGCTTACAACAGGAGTCTCCAAGCTTGGCAACTATGGACTTCAACTTCAAGAATTGCCCAGCCAACCAACTCCAAGAATTCTGGGAGTTGAATTCCAGAAGTCTTAAAGTTGCCAAATTTGGAGACCCCCTTAATGGCTGGGAGTTGGAAGACCTGGTTCTACTCAAGGGGGTGTCCCAGTCAGGGGTGGCTGCCCCTTCATGATGGACCACCTCCAGGCTTGGTCCTTTCTCTCTGCTGTTTAATAACTACATGAAGCTGGTGAAAGTCATCACTTATCAGTTGATGACAAGGTAGCAGGCAGACCACAGAGTGGAAAACGTTTTCTGACATGACCTGAACCACACAACCCGCAGAATGAGGAAACTCAGGCGTTGTTTCCCAAGGCAGATTCCTCGAGATGTGCTGCAAAACCCAGTTTACTCAACCTTTGGGCAAACATTGCCTCTCCTACTTGTGGTTTTTTTCTTGCACAGAACATGTGAGTAGCTTATTGTGGAGATATTTCACCACCTGACTCCACCTCAGGAATCAGCACCGTCATGGGATGTTTGGAATGAAATTATGGAAAAGAAAGCACTCAGGACGCTTCCAGATGGACCTCAACTGCCTCCTTAGAGTCTCCTTCTCTTAGTTGGGCTCCTCTTTCTACTATCCTGACACAGGCAGAGCCCCCAATGCATGAACCCCCTGAAGATAAGCACCACAGCCTGAGGGTGTCCCATAAACCTGCTCAAGCCAGGATTCTGGACCTCACTCAGGAAGTCTACCTCATCTTGGATGGACTCACGATATTCCATGATTTGGCTAGTAAAACCTCTAGTGATTTAGAGGAAGACCTTTGTTTAAAAGTCATACTTGGTGGAATTCCAGAGGTCATTCTTTCATGGAGAACATATTATGCAGGGGAATTCCCTGGACAAAGTAATTATGCCCACCCCATTTGCTCTATTCGGGTGACCCCGAGGGCACAGATCGGCCCTCAGGTTGGCCTCAAGGAGGATTGCAAGCCAATGGACAGAGGATTCCCTAAAAACCAAACCTCAACCTTTTATTATTATTATTATTATTATAGAATACAGCTAGAAGGGACCTTGGAGGTCTTCTAGTCCAGCCCCTTGCTCAAGCAGGAGAACCTACACTGTCTCAGACAAGTGATTGTCTAGTGTCTTCTTAAAAACCTCCAGTGATGGGGCATCCACGATTTCTGGAGGCAAAGCTCTTCCACTGGTTGATTGTCCTCACTGTCAGGAAGTTTCTCCTTAATTCCAGGTTGCTTCTCTCCTTGATGAGTTTCCATCCGTTGCTTCTTGTCCTGCCTTCAGGCACTTTGGAGAATAGCTTGACTCCCTCTTCTTTGGGGCAGCCCCTGAGATACTGGAAGACGGCTATCATGTCCCCCCTCGTCCTTCTCTTCATTAAACTAGACATGCTCAATTCCAGCAAGTGGAATTCGAGAAGTTTCTCCTTAATTCCAGGTTGCTTCTATCTTTGGTCTGTTTCCAACCACTGTTTCTCGTCCTTCTCTCTGGTGCTCTGGTGAACAACCTGACCCCCTCTGTCTCGTGGCAGCCCCTCAGATACTGGAACGCTGCTATCATGTCTCCCCTATTTCTTCTTTCCTCTAGACTAGCCAAACCCAAGTTCCGCAGGCATTCTTTGTATGTTTTGGTCTCCAGGCCTTGGATCATCTTAGTTGCTCTTCTCTGATTTTTTTCTAAACTCTCAACATCTTTTTTGTGATATGGTGACCAGAATTGGCTGCAGTATTCCAGGTGTGGCCTTACTAGGGTTATAAAGTGGTACAAATACCTCACGTGATCTTGATTCTATGCCTCTGTTTATACAACCGAGGATTGCATTAGATTTTTTGGTTGCTGCTGCACACGTCTGGCTCCTTGTTTAATCAGCCCCTTATCCTCACACATGGGGAGGACACGCATCAAAGGGAGGGTGGAGAGCCTCCAAAGGGACAGAAAAAAAAACACCATCAGTGGGAAGTAAGGACCCAATGTCTTTATTTAGAGGAAAGAGGAAGAAGCCCACCAGCTGGTGAGAGAAGTTGGGTCTTTGATCCACAATTTGGAAAAGTTGAATGGTGAATCTTGGCTGAGGGGAACCTGTAGAAAGAGAGTCGCTTGTGATGTTTCTGCCCAGGGGTGTCTTCTACATGCTGATTAACTGTTAAAAACCAGGAGCTCCCTGCAGACCTGCCCTGCTTAATTTTACACAATGGAGAATTCAAAAGGTTGTTCTTTGGAGAACCGTCATTGATAGGCTTAGAGCTGAGAGCTAGAAATCAGAGTTTGCATTTGGCTCAACTGACCAAGCCGTGGGTCTTTGTGTCAGAGCTGCCATCAATATGGGGGTAGTCATCTGATCAGGAGGATGGAAGGCTGGAAGGCTAAATAACAACAACAACAACAACAATAACAACAAAAACAACAATAGTAATAATAATGATGATGATCATAATCATGATGATAATGATGATAATAATAATAAAGTTGGAAGGGACCTTGGAGGTCATCTAGTCCAACCCCCTTCTCAGGCAGGAAACCCTATACCATTTTGGACATATTTTGTTGTTGTTAATTGCGAAGTTGTGTCCGACCCATCGTGACCCCATGGACAATGTTCCTCCAGGCCTTCCTGTCCTCTACCGTCTTCTGGAGTCCATTTAAGTTCACACCTACTGCTTCAGTGACTCCATCCAGCCATCTCATTCTCTGTCGTCCCCTTCTTCTATTGCCCTCCATCTTTCCCAGCATTAGGCCCTTCTCCAGGGAGTCCTTCCTTCTCATTAGGTGGCCAAAGTATTTGAGTTTCAACTTCAGGAATTTTGAACATATACCATTTCCATTAATTAATTTCTCTTTAGTTGTAGGTTGCTTCTCTCTTAACTACTTATCTTACCTTCCAGAGATACCATCTCAAGATCAAAGCCTGGAACTGGACTGCTATGGCTCACCAGCCAGCCTGCCCTTGAAGGGACAGTTCCCAAAACAATTTATTCAAATATAATTGGACAATAAAAGACCAGCAAGGGGAGGAACTGGAGAGGAGTTGGACAGCAAAAGTTAACCAGGAAGGTTTGGTACACAAACTTCAATTTTGGCTTTGATCCAGAGTAGGACAATGTGTGTTGTTATGGGCTCTTCACACCATGCACACATAACACCACTACTCTGAAAGCTGCAGGGGCTTCCAATGGGTCCCTTCACCAGAACAATGCCAACCTAGGGCACCTGAGAGGGACACCTTCTCGGTAGCGACCCCCGCATCATGGAACATTCTTCTCCCCACGTACAGCAGCCCTGATCCTGCAGGAAAAACCAGGCTCTTCCCAGCACCTTGGATTCCTAATGTGCCGGAGACGCCATTAAAGGATGTGGGTGTTTGGGCTGCCATTTCATTGATTCAATATTGTCTGTTGGTCTGTGCCCTGAGGTTTTTAAAATGGCTTTTGTTAGGTTTCCTTGCATTGTATTTTTCTAAGCCACCCAGATGAGCTGGGTTCAGAAGGGTGGTCCTATCAACGTTCTAGACAAATAAATCAGTCAGTGCTTGGGCGTGGAGCACGACATGGTGTGAGTGATGGATTAACATGTGAATGAGTCTTCCTTTCAGCATGGAGGAAACACAGGCAGCTCTCCTGTGCTGGGATTGTGTGATGATTCCCACGGATGGAGGGTCAGCCTCCCGGGGGCCTGCGCTCCCAAAGATATGGCCATTGGTCATACATCTGCTGTCCTTCAGAGTTTTGTGGACCTTTCCCCCTCCCCCCAGGCCTGTCTCTTTCCTTCTGGCCTCCTAAGAGGTGGTGAGGATGGTGATGAGGCTTCCCAAAGGCACCAGAGGCTGAATCAAAGCCATGGGTCTTGAGGACAGGAATTTAGAACAAATATCAAATAAAGGGCAGGATTGGGGCCTTCATTCCCCCAAGAGGGAAAGGAGCACAGAAGACCAGATCCTCTGCAGTCAAAGATGCCCCCAAATCTTCCTAAGCCAGAACTGGATCATCTCTTGAGGCTCGACTAAGAGAGAACTTCGCCCTCCCTCCACCGTCTCTGTCCGTCCTTCAAGAGAGTATATTATACTGGCTTTCAAAAGCCAATAGATTCTATTGGCTTTTGAACACCAATAGAATAGAGTCTCTTGAATAGAGTCTATTCTATTGGCTTTCAAAAGCCAATAGAATAAGAGGGAGTAGCACAGCTAAGGAAAAGGGGGAAAAAATGGCGGAGTGCGTTGTTTGCCGACCTGTGAAAT